TGTGAGAAGGGAAAATGCAAATGCCAAACAGGGCCTTGGAGAAAATTCTGACCAGCATGAAGGTCCTAGTATGAGTGGTCAACAAAAAAAAAAAGAGGACAAGACAGGGAGGGATGCGACACCACCAACTCCACTGCACTTGGTGTGTGGTGAGAAGCCAACCAATAGCGCCATGGTGCCAAGCAAGCTTAATCGCCATCTCCAAACAAAACACCCTTCCATTCAAAACAAGCCGATGGACTATTTTGTACGCTTACATACAAACTGTGAGAACCAGGCAACTTTTTTGAGAAAAACCACAAAGGTAAACGAGAGAGCCCTCAAAGCTTGCTAACTTGTTGCTGAACTCGTAGCTAGATCAAAAAACTCCCCCACTGTGGCAGAAACATCTGCCAGCTTCTAAAGCCATTGTAAATGAGATGCTTGGCCCTGATGCGACTAAAGAAATAGCTAGCTGCCTGTGTTGGATAATGTTGTGCACATAGTGACGGAGACCTTTGAGGTGTTACTTATTATTATTATTATTATTTGGGTCTTGTGTAAAGAAATGAGAGTGGAACATTAAATGTTATTGCTCCACATAGAGGTTCAGTGGCTATCGTGCAGCAAAGTACTAGCCCGTCTGTACGAATTGCAAGAGGAACTTAACTGACAAACTAAAGGTCCGATTACTCAAAGCCGCTTGCAAGTGATGAGTGGTGTGCAAGGCTGGCATACCTGGCTGATATATGTCATTATTTGAATGAACTGAACACACAAATGCAAGGCCAAAATTAAAACCTGCTTAGAAACACCAATTTTATTTTATTTCTTTATTTGACAGGGACAGTGTACATTAAAAAGCATTCCTGCAAATGCACCAGAATTAGCCAAAAGGCTATTTTTCATCTGTTGTCCCTGGAAAGATCTTAAAATTGTCTACCTAAAAAAAACACAACAGTAAGCATGCTACAATGAAAAATACAAATATAAAAAGAAATAAAAACAACTATAACTCCTCAAAACTGGTTTAAAAATACAGAATAAGTGTTCGCTGGACTACAAAGGTTCATAAAATAGGATAAAACATTAAAACTATGTACATATAAATATATATACATATATACATACATACATACACATTTATAAATATTAATACATACACACAGCAGACACAAGTGGCAGCATGGCTTCTTAATGATAAACAACTCATGTTCAACTAATGTTGACATGACTGATGTGTTAAAAGCCAATTTTTTTAGATACGTTTTGAAAATAGTGTATGTTGTAAGTCCTCTAATAAATGAACAGGTTCCGCACAGCTCAAATAAGGTTTAAAATCACTGCTATTTCACTACTTTGTCAACATTATTTTCTCTGTCTTCCCTTTTGAATGCAAAAAACTTGTCTCTGCTGAACTCAGTCCCCCAACACCACAGCAACATCTAGTCCCTTACTGGTTTTTGAGATGTGGATATTTACAAAAAGTCAGATTTTTCAACTCCTGCAAATTTCCCTTTGTGCACCTCATTGGTTCATCGTTGCTCTCGGTTTGCTGTATTCACTAGAAACATGCCTTTTGCCTTGCTAATTACAACCTTTCACTTTACATTATGTGGACTCAGAAGAATGTGGACAGGCTTAGAAACACTTGGAATCAGAAAAGAGAAACAGATCTTTTGATCACTTTCTTAAGATGCAAAAGTTTTGCCAAGTTTATCTTTACAGTACAGAAGTAGAAGATGTCTATCTAAATCTCCTTCTACTTCCAGCTGCTGGAGTGACCCCCTCTTGCATATTTTTTTACTCTGACTCCACCTTTATACTGAATTACAGGGTCTGAGATGCTTCTCTTTAGACCTTAATGTCCACAAATCATGACAGAAATAATATTTTAGTAGAAAGATTGATGTTTAAAAAGGAATTGTAAGGGATTGGCCAAGACCGGCCAAGGGCCCATCAAGGAAAGTGGGGAAATTTTGAATGACTACTGCTGTATGTACCTTGGTTCAAGCATCGTAGCACCTGGTTGGGAATAAGAGAGGTTAGGGATGGTGAGATGCACCTAAACTAGTTTCTTGGATGAACGGAACAGTGAAATGTACTGTTACGGGTTAGTAGTCAAACCTTCTGTAAAGTGTGTTTTGAAGGTGGTGGCACTAACAGAAAGATATAATATGTTAAGATATCTGTTGATAGACTAAAATGGATGTCCAACATTAATCAGGTTTCGAGAAAAAGATGGTAGAATTGAGATCTTTGTTATGCATTTTCTGTAACAGTAAAAGAGCTTTCTCTTATTATAATCCATTATGCCTGTAGTATAGAAAGCCTCCCCAGCCGCATGAATGCAAAATATTACGAATTAATAAGATTTAAACTAAATGGTATAATATATTCCCTATATTAGTTTTTGACACTCTTGCATTAGCTTCATTTTTCAGCCTCTCAGACTGTTAAACCCAACAGTTTTTCCATTTCATTGACTTTCCTCTCCTCCTGTCTCTGTCTGTACACATTTCCTCTCCTCACCTTCTTATAACACCTTATTTCATTAAGGTGTGGACCAGCTTTCCTCCTTATCAACAGCCACAAATTACTTTATTTTTTTTTCCTCAGTCCATTCCCAGGCAATCAGAGCAGCATGGGAGGTCTCTAAGCAAGCAGCACCGCCGGCTGCTTCATATCAATGCAGCCCGGCCACTTGGATGGAAAAAAAAATGTCACTTTGATACCTCCCACTGGTCACTGTCAGGGTGGGGAGTCTAACCCGACTAATGAAGTAAAAAGGAAAAAGCTGTGAGGGGAAAATGGGCTCCAGTCAGAAGGTTTTGTTCATCAACCCTGGCTAAAGCTGCTCATTTGTTTGTTTTACTCACCACCTTCTGTTTCCATGGAGTGTCATGTGGTTATGTTTCCATGTATGCATTTTCCTCCACTCATTGTCTTGTTAAAGACACAAGCCCACAGGTACATCCATACTTCATTATTCAACATACAGTGGACCTAAAATGTGAACACATCCTTTCTAAAAATGACACGTTTTGACAAATACGACCAAAATAACTAAGAAACGTATTTCGGCTCAAATGCAGCCAACTCTCAGCTATGTATGATGCCAATCAGGTGAAAAGCATACAAGTCTGTGAACAGAAAAAATGGAAAAAGCTGCAACAACCCTACTGTAAGTGTGCAGAGAGTTACACGCATGCTCAATTGGAGCACCTGTTTTATTTAGTTTTTAGTTTTCTTCTGTTTAGTCTTTTTGTGGGAGGCTATTACCATTCTTTTGAAATATTTTCCAAATCTATCTGCAAAATTCGTTCAAAATTGTTTGATTTTTAGGGCCATGTCCTCTCCAAAGCCCTCTATAGGTGATCCCACAGATCAACTTCTGATTCTTTAATTTGGCTGTTGAATTTGTGCTTATCTTTGACCTCACTGCAGTACTGAGAGTGAGTTGGATAGCTCAAGTGGTAAGTCACCTATCCTGCAAACAGGAAGCCTGGGTTTGTATCCCAGCTGGGGGGAATGAGCTGCCAGTGTGGCTCCTTGGGTAAGACCCTTCACACTAATGCCTGCTTTGGGGAGTGGTTGTGAGTTCCAGTCCACTCCCACGGACTGCCACTCTGAGCAAGACCGTTAACCCCCACACTGCTACATAGGCGCCGCACAATGGCAGCCCACTGCTCCCTTAGCCTCGTGAGACCATCCTGATCTCGTGAGCTTTCAAGGTTTCACTCGCAGATCAGTCTGGAGACTCTCCGTTAAAGAAAATTTGGAGCCGTTCACCAGACGAACGTCCAATCAGCGTTGGCTTTGAGGCGGGTTGAGGTGTGACGCAACGAGAAGCGCGACAGTCCAGTCTAAAGAACATGGCGGCTTCAGCCGATGAAACTAGTGTTAGCGTGGCTATCGAGCAAGTTTTATCGGAATTACAGAGTATTTCTTCACTGAAAGAAGAGCAAAACACTGCTCTGGAGGCTTTTCTCAGAGGAAAAGATGTTTTTGCTCTTCTCCCGACTGGTTTCAGCAAGAGTTTGATCTATCAATTGGCTCCTCTTTGTCGTCGCTTTGTTACGTCATATGCTTCATTGATCTGATTGGTTTATTTGGCCCGTCTATCACCAACATAGGCCAATCAGCTAACCAGTATTTTCGTCCCTTCCCAAAATTACTTCTACGGAAGGTTTCCAGATGGATATGCGGAGCAAATCCATCTGGCGGAGTCAGGTTACTGCTCCCTAAGGGGATGGGTTAAATGCAGAGAGTTAATTCCGTTGCTCACTATACTTGTGAAAGTGTAAAGGCAATAAAACACTGGAAAAAAAACAAAAAACAAATAATGTATTCTTTTTTTTTTTCAATTTAACAGTGACCGACAGGTGTTTACCTGCTCCATGTGAAAACTATGGCTGAAAAACTAAAGAGAAAGTCAGAAAAAAGTCCTGCAAGGATATCTGATGTCCTGAAATCAAATCAGAAATTGCTTCTATATGTTCAACAATATGTTAGTATTTTTGCAACATCTCCAACCTTACAGTAGGATTTAGCTTTAACCCCCAGAACAGCTGTTTATACCTGTGTATAAACAGGTGCTTCTGTTGAACTCTACACATTAAAGTCCCATTTAAGGCTTTTCATGTCTCAAAAAAGTGAAATACTACCAGAGATGTGTTCACGGTACAGATCCTTTGTATGTAGAAGATCCACTGCATGTAGAACTCTTCTGACATTTCATAATTTACATAATACTTTATGGTAACATTACACCTTTGGTTTGACGGAAATGATCTGAGATGATCTCAGTTCCTGGGAGATGAGACGATGCCCTGCAGTTTCTCCATCATGCTGGTCCTTCATCATATCTGCAACAGGCCTGTAAATCTCACACATTGTTCCACACAGTGAGCTGCTGGATGTTAATCAGCTGCAGATAGCATCGCTTCACAGAGACTTTATGACTGTTATACTTCCCCTGTCCCACCCTGTGTTTGACATGTGTTTGTCCTCTCATCTAGATGCTCCCACCACCACCCCTAAACCCACCACAACTATCATCACTACCACCTCCACCACCATCTTCACCTCCACCCCGAACCCTGAAGCTAGTCAAGGTATAGTATCACCCTGTGCTTGAATGTTTCCTGCTTCTGTATATTCTTATTGTGGGACTCGGCCTTGGACTAGTAACCAGTATCGGGTTGAATGAATGTTCCACGTGAGGTACGATGAAGTATTTTTCTGTTTTATTTTATTCAGTAAGGTTATACAAGGGTAAAAAAGGTAAGTGCGAAAATTTTACATCATACTGTAACGACTATCTAAAGGTATAGTGGATGATTTATTTATTTATTTTTTTTCTGGAAATGTTGGGAAGAAAAGCCAAAGTTACTTCCTACTTCCTCTTCTAAGGGGAAATGCTTATCAAGTGTGCATGCATGAGCACCATTGCCCTAGTGCACGGCTTTGTTTACAATCTGTCTGCAACGCATACATTTAAAATATATGTAACCACGAATGGTTCAAACTAATTCTCACTGGCTGCATAAACACTAGAACTATGCATGTCCAGCAAGAGAAAAGAACTAGCCAGAAACAAGCTTCTACAGTGGTGTTAGGTGAGCAAAAATTTAAGATGAGCAATCCAGAACTGAAAGCCTAAAAAAGGTAATCCTTTACACATTTAAAGGAGCAATGCGTAAGGAATTTGCTATAAACTAACCATAATCATTCTCATTTTTTATCAGCGGCGAAAGTAATATTTCCTATAAACTTTCAGTCCAGTCTTAGTTTAGCTTTTCTCCCTTCAAACCTAATGGTACAGAACTATTCTGGTGGAGGTGAAGCCTATGTTTACTTCCTGGTTCCTGAGCTTTTCATGTAAGAATTTCCAGGGTTGCCAAAACAGAGCACAGCTTTTGATACAGTATGTTGGCTAAAGAGCAGCAGCCTGCAAACATTGAAGACAATAAGAAAACCTGACCACAAATAGTCTCATCAATGCCTAGGAAACCTTTGTATCCTTCAAACCTATTTCCACAATAACTTTGTGTTGATGAATTGTCCTAAAGGTTGGTTTATGCTCGACACACAGATTATGTTAGGAAAATAAAATGTGTAGATATAATAATAATAATAATAAATTTTATTTGAAAGCGCCTTATCACAACACCCAAGGACACTGTACAGGCAGATAAAAACATTAAAAACAGGAAGCTAAAAAGTACAAGCATAAAGATGCCACAGATATGTCTGCAGCTTTTATGCTCCAGTGAACATGGTCCATCTGGAAGTTGGTCACCTTTATAAAATGGTGAAGCCAGCTGAAACCATCTGCAGGATACAAGGAAAATGAATCATGGTTTAATTCAGAATTTTTTCAAGTTGGGAATCCTGACTTGTTGTGTGTGCTGCCTGAGTGACTCTCCAGGCACCTGAGGGGTGAAAATGCCTGGTGCTCTGTGTCTCTGTTTGCTGCAGCAGGGGTCGACTAAAATGAATGTGACTTCCAACCTCATCTTCAGAATCTGTAGTGAGTTGACTCAAGAATTTGGAGACCAGATCCTTCATTTTGGAGAAACTGATTCTGTTCTATGTTCTGCATAAAAAATGCACACCTTATCACTGATCCTGCGGTGAATGAGTTACGATCAAATAAATCAATAAATTCCTGCATCTTTTCATCACAGAGAGCCAAGTTGAAACTATTTAGATTAATCGACTGCAGAAAAACAGATTAGGTCAGACACTACAACCTTCTGTCCCTCTATAACCATGGAGGTCAGAAGGTATGCATCCTCAGCTGTGTTGGTTTTTGATGCTATCATTTTTTTTTACCACCATCTTGAAAGTGCATGTTCATGTCAACAGTGGGTGGTTAGGTTGCTTAAAGGAATAGTACACCCAAAACATGATTAGCCTTCATTTTCTACTCACCCCCATGCTGAACAACACTCTGGAGTACTTTTTTGATATCTCAAATGCATCTGGAGATCTGGGAGGCTTCTTGCTGTCTGCTGACATTCACATAATGGAGGTCTATGGCGCCCGAGGCAGAAAGGTCCATAAAAGTCCACAAAAAACGTGTCAATATTCCTCCATACTGCTCGTCCAATGTATTCCAAGTGTCCTGAGTGGGTAGCGTCCAGAATTTACTCGAAACGAAGTCATTTAGAATGTTTTTAGAGCATAAACAGTAGTGTATAGGATTTCCTATCCCAGATGCAGAGCCGAGTGAAGCACAGATAGTTCTGACAGGTTTAATAGAAGAACAAGGAAACAGAGGTATGAATCCAGAAATCTAACTAAAAAGTTTAACAAACAAAAAACCATGGAGACATCAGGGGAAAAACAAGCCTGAGGAGCCACGGGGAGATGAGCTGAGTAGATGAGTACAGCATTGAGAAGGAACCAGCACTGAGTGACTGCAGAGGTGGAGTATTTAAGGAGAACAAAACAAAAGGATGGACTAACGAGCTGAATGAGGAGCAGGTTTGGGTGGAACTGGCAGGAGGGAGTCCAAGGGGAAAGAAAACAATCACAAGGGGGCAACAGAGAGTAACTAAAGAATCCTAGAATATCATGAAAAATAAAAACAAAACAACTGATAACAGAAAACTCAGAGTCACAACAAATGAGAACCATAACATTTCAGCTTTATACAGTTGTGCATGAAAGTTTACAAAGTACCATTAAAGAAAATGATGAATTCACACTAGTAATTCAAATACTACAAAATTGTAAAAAGCATTATGATACCAAAGCTAAGTTTAATGTACAGAGTGATTCAAAGAAACATTGAAAAAAATATATATTTTTTAGATAAAATAATTGAAAACATTGTTCAATTTTAATCAGTGTGTATTAGCATCTTAATATTATGATTACTATTTATTTGTGTAAAGCACATTGCTGCTGTAGGTCTTTAAAGTGCTTTATAGATAAAGCTAATATGGTATCAATTTAAGTGCATAATGTAAAACAAATACCCCAATCTGCTGTGAGAACTGATCAAATGATTATCGTAAAACATGCCTCTGCAAACATTATCCACCATGTTTGCTGCTAACTTTGGTGGTGTATAATATGTGTAGTGATGTGGCTGTGGCATTTGGGGTCTTTGACTGTTATGCATTGAAGGTGCTCTCAAGTGAAACTGAGCCCCAAACTGTTGATTAATCTTCTTAGAACTCAGAGATTTTAAAAACTATATGGTTATATATTTATAGAGAGTTGTTCCATCAGGAACACTTTTTGAGAAATAAACTGTCTAACCCCATCTGTCTAATTATGTGATGGTAATGCACTCACCACAGTCCCTCATGTTAAACTACAGAATCCCAATGGAGCCTTTATTCTGATCTCATTTAGAAACAATCAGGTTTGTTTAAATTTATTTATTTAATGTTAAAGTCAGGCCTATCAGGCACAACTTTGTCATCACATAAGACTTTATTCCTTACTGTATACAGGGTATAGAAATGATATTTGCCATGAATGATGGGCAGCTAACAGAATTTGCTGGAGCTGGGACATCATTCACTAGAAGTAACTAGAAATTAGGAATTTTAGATTTTGTAAATGCGTCTCTGGAAGGATGTGAGTAGAATAGAAATCGGGACAAATTGGAGTCCGAGACTTTTGTAATGTTCCCCTTTTTATCAGAGCAAGCAGCTACTATTAGAGAAATGTCTCATAATAGTGAGGTTCAATTATGATTCAAAAAGCTTTTTGTCAGGCAACCAGCACTGTTATTCAAAGATACCTCGTCGACTAGGTTAACTGCTTTAAATGCTTTTTAACATCTACTTTGTACAGGAAAGTAGAAATGATTCATATTAGTTTAAAGAGTTTGATCATTATTAACATCTGCTCATTGCTGTCTTTCCCATTTTATTTAATTCATTAGCTTGTTCCATTTTAGAGGTATATTTTGGATTTAAATGTGCTGGAGCACCAAATGGTGTCCAAATTGAAGAAATTGAAGGTAGGGCTGAAACAATCGGATTAATCGGGATTAGTTGATTATTAAAAGTAATCCTAATATTAATTGTAATAGATTAATCGTTAACTGGATTATAGAGACTGTAAAATATGCATTTAAGTGATATATCCACCAATCATCGAGCAGCAATTATACCTAAATTGAAAAAAAATAAAATAAAATCTAAACATTTATTTAAGATGAAAAGACAAGCTTTCTTCTTCTGTCAACATGCTCTATTACAGAACAGGAAAAGTTTTAGTTTCGCCTGGTTTAATTTTGTAAAAATTCTTCTTAAAAGAACTTTCTGCTATCAAATTATTAATTGAAAAAAAAAAATAATAATAATCAGCAGATTTATCAATTTGAAGAAGAATCATTAGTTGCAGACCTATTTGAAGGTTAAAAGAAAAGCTGACCATTACCATGATACTACCTCTGCCTCGTTTAGATTTAAATACCTTATCTAGACTCCCTCAGGCATACACATTGTTGGTTTGACCAAGCAGCCCATCCTTTACCTAGTTGATTTTCTGCAGCAGGTATTGACTCACTAACATGAGCGGATCCAGATTGCAGTCTGACCTGAAGGTTTCTGTTCGCTGAAAAAAAAATAATGCAACCGCTTTTGGCATTTTGTTATTCATATTTAGTTACTTTCAAATATTAGTTTTATGTCCTTCCCTACTAACATGTAACGATTGTGTTAAAGTAATTAAATATGATTAAGTAAATGCCAAAAGCAGTTTAATTACTTTTTTCAGTGTTTCTCTCCACTGTTTAAGTCTTTTAAAATCAGGTGTGTGTTTTTATGGACTTAGACCAGCTCATTTAGCTCTCAAGGGAAAAGTTTTAACAAATCTAGAAGCTTCTTAATAAAGACTTTATGTCTTTATGTGTCTTTATGTGATATAGATTTATGTGATTTAGAGGAAGTGCAGTGATGGGACTAACGGCGTTGAAAGTAACGCCGTTACTACCGCCGCTACCTTTTTTAGTAACGAGTAATCAAAATTATTACTCTTACTGTAACTATAACGCAGTTACAATTGCCGACACCCCGTTACTGCACGTTACTCAGGTCACACAATTAACCTTTTTTCATGATAGGACTCGTGCGCGCGTCATGAG